GGGCAAAGCTTCCTTCTTGAACAACCTTATTCACTACCAAAACCACACACTATCACTCAAAAAGCTCCAAAAAGATCAAAATACACTAGGGTTTGCTAAGAGGGTCGAGAAAGGGAATAGAGGCTAAGGTAGGGGAGGGTCTTGGGCCATAATAAGGTTTAAATAGTGCACAACGCCTAACTCTTAGGGTTTTGGTCTGAGCCATGTACGCCCTGCATACTAGAGTATGCGCAGCGTATTCATACGGAGCCCATTACGCTAAGCGTACAAGGATGTACGCCCCGCGTACACGATCAAGGCCAAATTTCAAGATTTTAACTTTAGAGACCTAATATGCAACAGAATCAAAACTCAAGGGTTCAAAAGAAAACATGATAAATCTTAGATGTTACAAATAGGATTTTACTTAAAAAAAGAAAGAAACAAACTGATATATACCTCTTAACAAAAGACAAAGAGAAACTGTCTGGACCCGACGTCTTATCACTACCACAAGCCTATACCGCAACACAAATCTCATCAATATCTGGAATATCATCTAGAAACCGAACCTGATTCAGATTTAGAAGCCTAAATCAAGGACTATGATTGGAAATCCGAACCCTGTGAAACTAATCAAACTTTTCTTTGTAGAAATATAAGAATTCATCCTTTTACTCTATCTAGTTGCATAACCCATTCATCGGTCGCACAAATACCTTTAACATTATTCTAGCAACGTTTCCTCAAGAGAAACCCATGAAAGAACTTTGTATTTTCGTTACCTTCCATTGACCATTTCAATTTTACCTTTTTAGATAAATTACTAGCCACTATTTATACGTTTAGTCTCTATTTTTTTTATTGAACCATCTATATGGTATTTTTTTCAGTTTTGTCTCAACCATACCTAAAATGATGATATCTCTCTTATCATTTGTTTTTTCTTTATTATTTAAATATTTAAGAAAATAAAATTGGCAACACCTCCACCCACCCCACCCCTCTAAAATCTGATATATCTTTCTCCACTTTTCTTATTTTAAACTTGATTAAAGAACCCTAAACCACTAAACTCCATCCTTAGACCATTACCACTAGAAACATATGGACCGTTTTCGATCGCCACTTACCCACCACCTTATTAATGAACAAGTCATACCACTAGAAACCACTCGACCATTGCCTATCTTCATTATAAAACCGATATCGACCGTCAACCATCCACCGCCACTTTTCTACTTCGACTCTCTTTAACACACATGAAGCCACAATCGAACAACCATCCACCACCACTGGAACGATAGCACATTAATGGTCTACTTAATTTTTGTAAGATTTGTTGCTCCTCCATTTATTAAAATGGAGTTAATTTGACAAGTTATTTCTCTAAAATGTTTGATTTCTCTGAAATCATCATCAACTTTGGGGGGGGGGGGGGGGGGTTCAACTCGAACTAACCAGATCGGCTAAAAAACAACACACTTATGGGATTCGCTTTCAATGGGTACTTTGGTAGGGGATTCAATTTCAGTGGGGGCGGAGGTTTGGTGGGGAGTTCGATTTTTAAAAGCCAAACCACTACATACCTCCGCCGCTTAAAATGGTGTCGAGTTGTCTGGTGAGAGAGGGGATGGTTAAAGAAGATTTTCATATCAAGGTAGAAAGATAGATTTGGAAATGATGTGAGTTTTGAGAAAATCAACATTGATCCAAACTCGTTTAACAAATTCCAAATGAAAAAAGAAAAGGTAGAGACGAACCATATAGATTGCCTAAACACATGGATGGTTTGTGTTCGTAATTTGTATCACTAATATTATTTAAGTGTAATGTGATGACATTGTTGACAGATGTAATCTTAATAAATATTGAACAAGGGTGGTGCATAATGCAAACTTACTTGAATTTATTTTGATTTAAAGTACATTGGTATTTAGGGGAGAAGCCAATGAACCACGGGGGTCCGGAGGCAACGCCCCTGGTAACAAGTTCCAAGGGGTAAAGCCCTTGGCTTGATTTTGACCTGATTTTTTATTTTTAGACCCGGTTTTTGTAGCAGTTAAGCAATTGTTTTCTAATTGTCATATGTCAGTTTTCATACACTACGGTTATTTCCCGCTTTTGGTCGTTTTGAATCCGGTACAAGAAGATCATAACTCTCTACATTCTCTGTTCTTGAAATCACTGAGTTTTATCTAGTTGAAATTTCGATTATATCATCAAAACATTTTAATCTAAAAATCATCACGACTCTCCGTGAATCCAAACAATCTAAACACCCATAATTCTAACAATTCGTGTAATTTACTATTTTCATTAAGAAATTGGATATTGGAGTTCAAGTGTTTGTGATACAATCTCTTATCGTAGCTTTTGTCAATTTTTCAAAACAACTTTTTAGGCTTAACCATATGTAATAATAGACTCAGACCAATATAAATTGAACACATACCACTGCTACAGGAACAAAAACAAGTATTAATTTAAATAATAATTTTGTGGAATTTTCATCATGGAAAACAAATGAAAACCTTTATGACCTCTATGGTCTTCATAATCATACAAATATGACATGTATGTTAAGAAAATGATGTTTTAGTCACGAAGAGGTATTAAATAATATTTTTGAGATTTTTATCATAAAAACAATAATGAAAACAAATAGAAGCCTTTATGAGCTATATGGTCTTCATAATCATACAAATATGACATGTATGTTAAGAAAATGATGCTTTTGTCTTCTTATACTAGTCGCATTATATTACTTCAAAATAACATATAACTAAAGAGTTCATAAACATAGGCCGACCTCAATATAATAATTTAAATGTACGTCTTATAAAAATTGAAGTTTTATATCTAAAATGTTATATAATAAACCAAAAACTGTATTAATAATTAGACAATATAACCCTCACTAATCACTATCTAAAACCTGATTCTTCACTAAAAACATATTCAATAGATGTATATATGATGTTAATGTCAATAGATGTACATATAATGAATAACCTGACCCAAAATAAATTGAAGAAAACCCGAATGACAATATCGAATTGATAAATGTTTAGAATAGGGTGAAGGTCGTTAGGTCCAAAGCATTGCACAATAATATAATTACTTTTAATGGGGTCAAGTAATAGAAAAATAAATCCATGGTTTCTGCCCATGGACTCGAGTCATATCGAATAACAAGTGTCCACCGAAAAGTTTGAATATTTTGACATTATGTCCTTGGACCTTGTATAAACAAGAAAGAAGAAAAAAGTAATTAGACGAACACAAAGAAATGAATTATATGGGTTGAAATATTAGTGGGACATGACCCGATTAGAAGATGATATGGAGGTTGACCAAATTGTGGATAGCGTTGGTTTGGTCCCTTGTTTTAGGTAAACACAGGTGTCAAAGATATTATATATGTGTGAGGTTTCTTTCATACGAATAGACATAGCACTAATTAACATTATATATATATATATATATATATATATATATATATATATATATATATATATATATATATATATATATATATATATATATATAGTTATAGTTATACGATGTAGAAACAGTATTTAATCGACTGATTTCGAACCAACAACTGTAAAGATAAAAACTGTGGGCATTCATGTATTGGATTGTTTATCAATAATCAATATATACATACATATGAGCCTTGATGATTTCTACAACAGGCTTGATAAAGTTTAGTTATAAAGTTAATGATTTATATAAAAATTAAAAGGTGATGATATTGCAAATGGTAAAAAAGAAGAAGAGAGGAATTAAGGGACAATGCATGATTAAGTTGGTCGGGTGTGTGTTGTGTTGTGGTTTTGGTTTGACATTCTCTTACAAAAGAGATGGTCCCCAAAGCTCAAAGAGACGCTGCCTGCCTTCGTTTTTTGAAATTGTGCGCACGTGCACCCTCATGCCTCATGCCTCCAGCACTTTATATAATTCAACAACCAAATACTAATCACTCACATTAATTTAAAAAAAAAAAAAAAAAAAACATATGTTTTTACTTTGTATTATTATATGCTAAAACATTATTACTTTCGTTTTATATACTTTGTTATGACATTTTTCAAAAATAAAAAAAAAATGACAAATCTTGCATATAATATTCTACATTGTTACAATAATAATTTTACTTTTATAGATAAAGCGATATAGGTTTGTAAATATTCAATTACAAGACACCTTTCAACCATTCGGTCAAATTTTCCTTACAAGTATTCTTTTCCAGCTTTATCCGTTTGTCGATAATATACAACTCAAACTGACTAATTTTAATACTAAAAGTCTGAAACTGTAACCACTAATCAACAGATACATCTCCGCTTTATTTATATCAGTTACATCCCAATATAACTGATCAATCTGATAAACACAAATTATATAAACCAAAATTGATAAATTTTGTTTATGATACAAGGAAAAGAATGATATAATTGATAACTCCAATAAGTGTTTACGCAATACATATGATATTTTGATTGCATGTGACATGTATATCGCTGTTTGTTGACCTGAGGCAACCGAAAGTGGGCAACAAGTGAGAAGTGACCCCCACTGGCAGTGCATATGGCAATTAGCGAATACAAATTGACCACCACTTATCCAACAACAGTAGTACGGAATCTCAATCTCCTTCACACTTGACACCCTCAATTTCACAACCCACTCCCCCATATCCATCATACATCCATCCATCCATCCATCCATCATAGGCCACACACCATAGACATCACTAAAAGATGAATGTGAACCATCAAACCAACATACATGAATGGATGATTGCATACACAATATTCTTTTGACCATCATCAAAGGGCCCATCAGTGAGCCATGTTGCACTGCTTTTGGCATTTTGGCATGTATTGGACTGAGACGGAGACTAGACCAAAAATTGCAATTTATAGTCCATTGAAAAGTTGGTGAAAGGAGTTGCAAAAGACATAAATGCCCTCCTTGTTATTGAAAACTTGTCTAGTTATATGTCCTATGTAAGTGAACGAATGCAATCTCAATAAATGAATTAAGAATGATAGATATGAGCTTGGGTAGCTTTTATTCCAACTAACTCAAACTGAATGACCATATATTATAAGATTACAGACTTATGAAATTGTACAATAAAAGCCTCTTGTATTATATGATTTGACGATTTTGGCCCCTTAAATTACAAATTTCATGTTGATTCATGGCATAGTTTGTGGTCCTCAAGCAGCCGATGAAGATTGAAGCAGGAACATGAACATGTGTTACAAGGTTCTTCAAAGTCCCTTCCTTTTGAAGCTCAAAATAATTTCAATGTCCATCTGAATATATATATATATATATAATGAGAAGATGAAATGACAAAAAGTTTTTTTTTTTTAAATTTAGAGGTGTGAGGGAATGAATGTTTGAACTTACGGATTTGGCAAGCTCTTTAGCTTTATCATCATCAAAACCAAGTGCAGACATGATCCTGTGAGCAGCTGATTCCTTTTGTGCCCAGATCCCCAAAAGCAAATGAGAAGTTGTTACTTCTCCTGTTTCTCCTGTCAAACATCAATTACAAAACTGTGAACATCTTCTTCAACTAACTACTATCATTTTTAGTTTCTACCAATAGGCTCATTAATTTAGTGAAATAAATAAGAATACAGGGAAGTAAAAGTCTACCTGACTTCAGTTTCTCATTTATTGCCCAATCAATGGCTCTGCGAGCTGGTTCAGTCAATGGAGGATGCTCAGGGCTGAAGATATACATGTCTGATTTTCCAAGTAATTTTACAGTTTCTTCTCGCACTTTGAACAGTGTTACACCACTTTCTCTTAATAACTTTGCAGCCAAACTAGTACCTGGGAAACTTTGACACATTCATACCATTGAAGATAGTCTATATTGATATGTAACTGGATAAATGGCTAGTATGCTTCAGAAGATTGATATATAAAAAGTTGCAATGAATGTGCCAAGGTTAAAAGATTAGGAAATTATCTGACTGACCCTCAACCAATATGCCCATCAACAGAGCTTCGGTCCCAGTATTCATAAACTTCAACTTCCTAGCTTCCAATTCACCCATGGCAAACGACTTTATGAATCTAAACGACCATCTTCACACACTCACAACATCAACAACAATAATGTCAGATAAAAGAAACTAAATACCGGATAAGAACAACAAAAATTGCAGAAATAAACTTACTTGGCGGTTTTTTCAGGAGTTTCCTTCTCGGGTGTCCTGCAAAATAGCGATGAAATTGCACAGTAAACGTCGTTGATTCAATTTCATATCTTAAGGAAGTATGAGCTGCACTTTTACTTATAATTCCCGTAAGATCATTCATATTAGTAGCAAATCCTACCAACGTTATGATTCCCGGAAGATTTGTGAACTTGCATCGGTTTTCAGGAATAGGTTTAAGTCCGTTTGACTTAAGAGTTAAGAGGGTCAAACGCCAATAGTTATATGAATTCACATAATAGCAATTGATGAGCAAAAAACACGGACTTACGGAGTTGTGGGACTAGACGAGACCGTTGCGACGATACATGAGTATCGGCCAAAATTTCTATGCCTCGAATCCGTTGTTGGAATTGAGAGCGGCAGTCCGACGAATGAACTAACCATGGCCCTGGAGCTGATTCTCCTGGACGGGAGAAACGACGAATTGCATGAATTCCTACACCGGCAACCGGAAGATGAAGGGGAAACGGGAAGTACCGAAAGAGATTGGGCAGCCATGGAGAACAAGAAAACCCTAAGCAACTACCTCTGTTGTTCAATCGTCTTCCGTTAAAGCGTAGACGACGTAACCAGTTTTTCTTACTCTACTTTTAACTTTACAATATTTTTTTACAATAAATCATTATATTTTCAATATTTTGTACAAAAAGTTACTATATTATTACTTTTTTAAAAATTTATTTACACTTATATATACTATCAAATCAATAACTTTACTTGCCGTTATAATAATTTTAGACAAATCATTTACATTAAAAAAATCCATATAAATGTTTTTTTAACAAGATGAAATCGTTGTAAATGTTTTTACAATTTTAATGAAAAAAATAATATTAAGGGGAAATCTGTATATCAATATTAATGTATTAATTAAGGTTATGTTTGACAAAATAACAGAAAACCTAGCTGTTAGCTAAAAAGCTACTGGTGTATATCAATATTAATGTATTAATTAAGGTTATGTTTGACAGAATAACAAAAACCTAGCTGTAGCTGATAAAATATGGTGTTTAGTAAAAACTAGCTGATAAAATAACTAAAAAATATAAAATGATATAAAATGACACGTACAAAAATGATTTTATATTATAAAACAAACATGTAAATCATAAAATTAAATTAAAGAGAGTACTAAAGGACATTTCTCTGATTATTTATTTTTTAGTGAAATGTCATGCATTATGTATCATATTCGCAATATTATCATGAATTTCTCACATCTCATGGCATGACTATCGAATATTATCATTACTAAATCTTGAATGATTATCTTGTTCTTTTTGTGGGTATGTAGTTATGTTATTGAACAATGTTGAAAATCATTTCTTCGTATATAGTTATGAAGGGTAAATGTCATCATTATCACATCTATTTAAGTATTCTCGTTAAATTTTGTCACTATGTTCAATAGTTTCCACATTTTCCTCAACATTCCAAAGGAACGTTCAATGCAACTTCAAAAAGATCAATGTACACGATTAAAATCCTGTTGAGCATTGGTTGGAAGCACATGTTCAAACTGTGACTGATGATATCTAACACGTGGATATGGTGCCAAATATCCTTTTCAGTCAGGGTATCCTTTGTCTACTACGTAATATTTTCCTATATGAAAATATAGATAAATAATAAATCCAAATGATTGTTAGTGCAAAATTTGTTAAGAAAGATAAAACTAATAGTACCTTCGGGGGCTTTGGAAAATCCATAGAAGGTGTCTCAATTGCATGTAGGAATACTCGAGTATCATGCATGGGTCCTTCCCACCTGACAGATATAAACGTAAAGCACATGTCACAATCACATACAACCATTACACTGAATGTAGGGACTCCTTTTCTTCCATTGTATCTCATTTGGTCGGCCATCGAGATACATGCATGTATATAAGTATCATCAATGCATCCAATGCAATCTTGTTAAGAAAAATGTTTAAATGACAATAATGAAACATATGAAAACATAATGCCAAACTCAATTACCTTGAAATAAGGAATATATTGACTGTCATTTTCAATATGAGACAATATGCCTTAAAATGTTGCATCTTTAGGTCTAATATATTCACGTGCAAGACCCATGAACATTTTGCTCCGTCCACATATGGATTCCAATACATCATGAAAAGCTCTACTAATTGTTTCTCCAGAATGTTGAAACATCTCAGCAACATCTTTGTTAGAAAAACCTAGTGCAAGTGTATACAAGAATATTCCAACCTTTTCTTTTACCGATATTCAATCACATGACTTTAACCCATAATTTTTTCCAAGTATTCACATAGTTGTGTAAATAAACTAGCACTCATACGAAAAACATTAATGCATCGTATTGTATTACCATTCAAAATCTCCTTCATCCATGCTTCTCTTGTTTGGTTTGAAGTCATACAAGGCTTCTTGTAAATATGAGTGTAGTAATAATTAATCACTGCTACATGTTCTTCTAGACAACTCAATATTAAAAGTAAAAGAAGTTGATTTGAGTGTCATCCATTGCAAGTCGTATTCATCAATAACATTACAAACTAAATAAATAAATATCAAGTACAAATGTAACACCATACTAAAATATAAAACAATGCAAATAAACAGGTTTAGCATCCAAGCAAAAGATAAACATCAAACTAAGTACTAAGTACTAACATCATTAAGTTTGAAAATATGTCTATTCACTAAAAAAATCCAATTAAACTAAGTTCTCAAAATTGTATTTCTCATATGAGCAAACTTCAACCAAGCCAATCTAGCATCATCACTCGGCATCTTGAAGTATATATTTCTATTACTTGGATCTCAAAACATAAGCATCGCATAACAACAAATATCCCCACCAATCTCAAAATCATCATTTTTGTAGCTATTCGGTTCATAATTTCCATTATATGCTTTATGTTAGGACCTACATCGTACTTTTTAGTGTTTAAACCTTGATCAATCAAACCCACAATATCTGAATGGATTTCGTGAACTTTTTCCATATGCTCCCTCATTAAAACAGCACCCACAAACTCCCTTTTTCTACATTTCACACTTTTTTTTGTTTATGAACATCAGAGTTTGAAGGGTTACCAGAATCCTCTTCAACAAAATTAGTCGAAAAAGATTTTTCTTGATTATATAGAATCTATAGTCTATAATATTGAGAATATTCGTGCATATCCTCATCAGGCCAAACATTCTCATTTTATATATCGTTTGCGTCATTAATTGATTTATTAACATACTCTAAATTTAATGAGGGAGCTACACAACCCGGTCCTATTGCCACAACATCACCAAACAGATGATCCTATTTTTCTTCTACTAATGGATAAAATCCCTTGTGGCTGTACTTCTTTGCATTAGGTTTCTCTTATAAAGTGAACTAATATGACACTGTAATATCAAAAGAAAACTCAATTTTTACAAATAAAAATGTCTAAGTAATACCTTTAGCTTTCTATCCTACCATTCATCCGAACTATCCAGCTTTTCAGCGGTTGGGTTCCAACCTAAACCAGTTTCTTCTGTTTTTAAAAATTTCCAAAAGGCGCCAATCTTTCTTCATGCTATGATGCTTTTTCATTAAGCTTGTAAAGTTACATCATTTACCAACCTTTTTTGGAAAAAAAAAATCTTCTATCTCTTATCATCTCTTGAGTTGACCATGTCCATTCTTCGTAATGTAGCCAATATAAAACTCACAAAAATTTACAATATTCTTGTTCCAGGTTATACCTTCTTCGGTATCGTTGTTAGGAGTCATGTTTATTCTAAAAGCCTTGTACATGTATTATATATAAAAGTCAATGGCAGTTGAGGAATAGAGTACAAGGCTACAATGAAAGGAACAACCAAAAAAAAACAAAACCACCTCCAGAAAAGTAAGTCCAAACTATTACAGAAAGTGCATTACCCCTAAGGACTAATGACTAAAAATTTTCTTATCTGTAATTGACAGATTATGGTAACTTAGTGACTATCTTCAAAAAAAGTATGCCAAATATAGTAGTGTAATTTGAACAATCTACCTTGATCAATACTCCAAAGATGGCGTCAAACATAAACAAAAAATACACAATTAGGGGAAAAAGGCATTAATTCAATGCATAATGAACTATGGGTAAGTAATGACTAAACTTCTTATTTTCTGTTACTGAAAATTTTATATCTTTCTTTTGGGTACAATTTTTTTCACTGATGATGAAATGGGGGGTTTTTAAGTAAGGAAAAAAAATTATACAGGGCATGTGGGAAGATAATAGGGCATACGAGAAGATAACAAGACAAGTGAAAAAGTGGGTCACTATGTAGAATTTGGAGTTGAGAACTATTACATAATTGGGAGAAAAGGGAAGCAATTCAGAGCTAAAAAAAATTACACCAAACAAAGCATATTGGAAATAAAAGACCTTTGCTTCTTGATTCTCTCATACTACATTGGATATAAAGATAGAACCAAACATTGGGTGACTGAAAAAATCACTAAACCAAAACAAATAGATGAAATTAATCGATTCAATAATACAAAGAACTAAGTTCATGTATGTATAGTATCGATCAGTTTGATGAAAAATTTGAGAAAATCAAAAGAATGCATACATGATGATGATAAACAAGACTTCAATGATGGCTGCTTCATACAAATTAGTTGCTTCAATGAGGTCCTGTATCTCCAACAGAAACTGATAGCATTAATAATGCACCGCTTTATAGAAATCGATGGTGAAGGAAAAGTTTCTTGTGATTTGGAGGGAAAATTATGATTTGGGATAATTACGTTCCTGATTTTTTGTGATCGTTCATATCTCTTACCTTTTTTTGAAGGGCATAATCGGAAGAAATATAAAAAGCTCCTTCAAAGGTTGGTTAGAGTAGCTTACGAAAAAATAGCTTCCAAGCTAAGCTTGAAAAATAAGCTAGCTTATAAACTAGTTTTGGCGCACCAAACACAGCATAAGTTTCTCATCAATGATAGTTTTGGCCTAACGGGATGATGAGATGTCATTTGTCAAATAAGTTAAGGGTTTAAATCTCGTTTAATACATAGGTAGAACCAAGAGTAATTTATGTGTTGATTGTGACATCCTCTAATTTTCAGAACCAATTAAAACTTTTCTTTACGCTTTAAAAAACATTTATTTATATTTGCGAAAAATCCCAGTACAGAAGATCATTTTGATTACGAATGTTTAAAACCTAGGGAAGTCATAATCAATATAGATACATAAGTTACAACGTAAATACATGATGGTCCTGAATACTATTGCAGGTTGTCTCTTAATCACTCAACATCCTAACCAAGCTATGGTAACTTAAGTCCTGATACCTGTGATGCATATAAAATGAGTGGGTCATGTTGGGGAAACATGGTGAGATACATAGGTATTTTAATCCCAAAATATTGATATGATAATATTCCTTTATTATTAGACCTGCAAAACCAACCGTTGACATACTATATCGATATATGCTTACATTTCTATATATCTATTCCTACCGATCCTCACAGATCCTAGGCCATTATTATCAGGAGAAAGTTATCTCGCCTGATGAACTGTTAAAAGATTGACTACACAGCTAGGGACTTCCTTGGTCTGTGTAAGTCACAAAGAATATGTAGAAATACCGTTACAATTTTTTGACTAGTACCTACCATTTATGGTTATCCAAGTATGTGCTGACATACCATTACAGTTGTTTGATCGGGACCCACCATATTTGGTCATCCCAAAGGGGAATACTATATCATACTCCCATACGGAGCTACCGCACATTGACACCTGAAAGTTTCAAGGAATAGAACTTTACTCTCCGTTCCTAGGTTATACACATTCTCCTAATGAGACTACCTTATATCAAACTTAATTGAACTATGTACCTTCCACAAGTCTAAGTTTATCCATAGACTAGATTATAGTGCATGTAACCAACTTTTATTACCAACTCTATTATTGGGTGACACTAACCTATCTCTAGTGTATTTATATTCCCTATATAGCATTAGGTATTATTATTCTTTTGTCTTCTCAACAATGCTACTTTTAATACTATTATATGATATTATCTATTTAATCCTAACATAAAATAGAACCCTATCTGGTTTGTACATAGCAGATCATATACATATATTAACATATAATCCAAACAATAAGCATATAATTCATATACGATTCCCAACATATATTTAATACTTGTATTAAATCATGTTCATAAAAGGGACTATGCACTCACTTGACTTAGGTGGGTGATTGGTAATCTGGGCAGGATTTCACCTAGTACCTTAGATATTCTCGTGGCCTAAGTATAACTAATACAAAGTTTTAGTCTAATGATCATGGTAACTAATAATAGTCTAGATCCTCACTAATCCTAATGTCCACATCAAGATCTATCAAGTAATGATCAACTAGGCAGGACGGTAAGGTGACATGATCATTTCGGCATATAGCTTTTCTGAAATCCAACAAACAAGCCAACGTGACCATTCTAGAAACCTCTCTCGTAAGTAAACCA